GCCTTTTCTGCCTTGCCCTTCAACTCCATGTTCATTCCCATAGCGAAAAAATGGTTATGAACGACCTACAAGGTTTAAAAAAAATTAAGTGAAAAAAAAAATCTTAAGTAAAAAATTTTAAGCATGAGCAAGTTTACGTGCAACAACATTTTCCGATTCTCAACAAATGGGTCTGGAACCCTCACAAGGGGCTTAGACACCCCAGCTGCAGCCCGAAGGGACAAGACCTTCACCTTCTCCAATTCGGACAAGCCAGACAAGTCACCGAAGTACTCAATTGCTGAGGCTCGGTGAGAAAGAAGAGCGTTCCTAGCAGCATCTGGAACAACCGATAGTGGGGCAGACTCAAACCCCATCTCAGAAGACTGGAAGGTCTTAAAGGAGTTTCCAACTGAAGTTGAAGGAACGTCAAAGTTCTTCGCTTCTTCAACTCTTTCCTCGGCCTTCTTAAAATCTTTGGGCCTCCCATCCAATATCTGCACATCATCATCCTCGGGCTGGATGATCAGTGCATCAGCCTCCTTCCGAACCTCATCAACAAAAGGTTCGGCTATGTGCCGAGGAGATGGTGAGGAATTTAAATTTGGGGGAGTCCTCTACTGAACTTCCTCATCCCGAACCTCGGGAGGAGGAGGAGTCTTCTCTTTAACATCCTCGGTCGGGTCTTCACCTAGCCGAGGTCTCTTAGCAGCAGGTTCGACAGCTTGAAACTGCCCAGGGTTTATAATAGCTCTTCTTCTCCTTTGACCTGCCATTTCTTCGGCGGAAGACTCGTCCGAAGAAGATGTTTGCCTTGTTGGCTCTCCTCTGTCTTCTTCTTCTTTGGCAAACTACAGCAGAAAAGACAGTGGGGCAAAGAGCAGTATGAGCATCATCAAAAAAAATTTCGAGCCAAAGCCTTCAAAATTCAAAGAAAAAGCTAAGTAAAAAAGAGCAAGGCAATGGGAAAAAGGAAGAAAGGAGAGAAAGGTTGAGGCTCACTGAAGTCTTCAGCAATTACCCGTTCAGCACTTCAACCACGAAGGAGTGTAGAGGATACCGAAGCCCGAACTGCAGCTACCTGGTATACACCCCAATGTAACCAGGAGGGGAGCGATGAATCCTGTCCTCAGCAGTGGGCATTCGGCACCAATATCCATCCTCTTCCATAATGCTGTAGAAAACTCTATTTGTTCGGCCAGGCAATGGAGAACACTCCCTTTGACCCACTAATCATACGTAGCGGTGGTCATCAGCCCATAACTTCGAGGGGGTTAACTCACTCTGAGGCCCCAGCTGGCAACTCCCGGGGTCCAGTTGCCGAAACGCTGCCGAAAGTGCTAGCTTCTTCCGAGCCTCGGAATGGCACCGACGTCAACGACACTGCAACAATAGGAGCCTCACCCGAAGAAGCCCTAGTTTCCATCTCGGGACGTGGGATTCGGTTGCTCAAAGGCGGTATCGGCCCAAGTGATCAATTGCGCCGAGGAAGTAATTGAGGAGTTTCCTCTTCCTCTTTAGCAACTACTGGTCTCTTGCCTCGATTTTGAACCATTTTTGTGCGAAAAATCGAGAAATCGGGAAAAAGGGAATGCTTTAAAAAATCAAAGAAATCCGAACAAGTTTCGGAGAAAATTACCTCTATCGGAAGCGAAATTCGCCGATCTATAAATTCGGAGCAACGAACTTAGGTCCCGAAATGCAGAGAATACTCGGAAAAAGGAAAGCGTTTGTCAAGGGTTGATTAGCGAAGGACGGAAGAAAGAGTTTGCAAGAAATGAGGAGAGAGAGTGGGATGAGTGGTTTAAATAGGTTTTCCAAAAGTGAGAATTCCTGAAGTTAGTACCACTAAAAGCCCCACTAACTCCACTTAAATGCAACCGTTAAACACCTTCCCTAATTAATTACCCACTAAACCTTTCATCTTCCCTAATTACTCTCTAAACGGCAGTTACTACCTCAATAACTACCCAAATTCAAATTTTAATTAAACCATTTACTTCCTCCATTTTGCAAGTCAAAACCCGACCCGTTATGATTCCGAATCGGGTCCGGGGGCAAGTTGTTTGGATCCAATTCAATCCAATTGGCCCAATCCAAATGCTTTAATTACAAAGCCCAAAAGTAAGGTTCAACTCTCTCAAGCATGCCAAGTCAGCCAGGCCCAATCAGCATGGCAAGCCCATCTGACTTCACGGCCCAGTTCACCTATTTGAGCAAGGTATAAAAGCCCTCAATTATCTCATTCAGAAGATATTCAATTCAGGCCTTAAGCACAAATTCTCTTACATAGCTTTCTCTCTCAAAACATTGTACTGACTTTAGCATCGAGGGGTCTTCCTCAGCACAACCCCCGAGGCTAGTTTACGTGTGTTTGCTGTGCAGAAAATCCTCGGCCCGGTCATCACTTGGACCGAGATCAGTCTTCTCCCACCGAAAAGGACCAGCCGAAGGTCCTATTGTTTTCAACTAAAACATTTCTTATTTTTGTATTTTTTTTATAAATTATACGTTCGATGTTTGTTGCAATTTATTTATTTTTGCTTCTGGGTAGTATTAATGGAGTTATAAATTTCTGGGTTGTTATTGTATGATTATTTTATTTAATATATATTGATAGGTTTTTGTTGTAGCAACACGAGGAATTTGAATTTAGGGTTTTTGTAAAGTATACAATCACCGTTTATTTGATTTTTGGGTTTTGAAGGTGCGCTGAACTTGTTATTGGTGATTTGGGTGTGGAATGTTGCGCAATTTGATCATTTAGAAGTTGATTTGGGTATGTTTTGCGCACTTTGTACTGTAGCTCTGAATTGGGATATTGAAATTTCCGCTATACTTCTGGTGGGCAGTCTGGGCACTGTTCATTTGACTAGCCATTATGGCAGTTTAGCTTTTGGTTTATGGAACTTCATTGTTAGGAGGAAATTTCGAAACGTTTATTACTAATTTGATGGCGAGTATAGATGTTAAGTTCCTGATCTTTGCCGCTCATCCTTGTAGAATAGCTTCTGTATTCTTGATTGCCTCGTAAGTCAGTAACGGTGATTATGGTTTGCATTATTTCTACTCTAGGTTTTCTTTGGTATGTTTTCGTGACTGTAATTACCGGTCTTTTTGTGATTGGAATTACAGTGCCTCGTTGTCTTCGATGTAGCTGTATTTCCTTAAGTTACAGTAAACAAGAATTTATTAAAGCCTTCTCGTAACATGTGCTGTAATTGCTGTATTTTCCTGTTTAGTGTTAGTTTCAAATAGAGTTCTGGATATCAATACCCCTTTCAAGATTTAGTTTCTGAAAAGGACTTACTTTTTTTGGCTAAGCATTTGTTTTTTGAAGCTAATACCCTTAATTGGTATTCATCACGAATCTCTCCTTTTACGAGATTCTTTTCCTTGGTCGGACCAGCCTAACTGGTGATTTCTGACAAGTCGTTTATGTGTTTCAACTTAATATTCCTTTGTTATCTCTCGATATTTTATTTGTTTCAAAAGGAAACGATTCCGGTGCGAGTGTGTGACTGATTGTGTGGCAACCAACTAGGTTTTTGTACTGTAGTTGATGACCCTCAGTTGTTAGTTATAATGTTCAACTAAAGAAATAACACAAACATTAGGTGGCTTCCTGGTAGAAATTTTTGATGCTCAAGTCGATAGCGAATTACATATATGTACAATATAGAGAGCTCCTCGGATTAATGTATGCGATGGTGAGGATTGTATAGTATGGCTTCATGATGGATTATCCATCCCTTGAAATGGTGGTTTCCTAGACTCCTGGGCCTTGTGTTAAAAATGGGCTTCTGAGTCCTCTATGGGGATGGGGGTTAAGACGTCAAGTCTTAATTTAGTACTCCCTCTGTCTCGTAATATAGTTTCTGCTTTTCTATTTTGGAGATCCAAAATATTGTTCCTGTTTTTATTTTTGGATAGTATGTAAAGAATATTATACCATCACTTTTTTAACATTATTCACTGTACTTCCTAACTTATCCTTAAATTTTGCATATATTCATGTAGTTTTGGATAGTATGTAAAGACTATTATACCATCACTTTTTTAACATTATTCACTGTACTTCCTAACTTACCCTTAAATTTTGCACATATCATGTATTTTTTCCACTTTCTCTCTCTTAACTTTTTGTTTATAATTGTACTTTTCACTTTTATCAATGTCCTTCATCCACTTTCTCTTCCTATTTCTTAAATACTGGAAAAACCACAAATAGGAACTATATTATGGGACGGAGAGAGTAGTTGTTTGGCATAGGACCAGTATGATGATGACTCTGCATTTGGAACACATGCTTTTAATCTCTGTTGATTTTCTGATATGCAAAGAGCAGAAATGGTAGAATAGTTATAATTAATGTCAAGATATGATAAATGAGAGTCAAGTAAGCTTGTATGAAAAATGTAAGCTAATTGTGTCTATGCATTATTAGGATATTGATGGAAGGTCAACTATATACCTTGCACGGTCTTAACTTGGATTTTCAGTTTGATCTACTCTGAAGAGCCCCGAAAAACAGTGCTTCAGTGCTTAGACCAGAATTTCTAGTTAGGAAAATAAATTTTAAGACTTGGCTTTTGCTTCGGTGTTTGGTTTTGCGGAAATCATTTAGGCAATATATGGAAAGTGGTTTATATGCTTGATATTATTGAAAATACATATTGTCTGGGTTTGAGGAAGCCTAACATAGAAATTTTGATATGTTTTGGGAAGGAGGTAGTACTATTTTTTTCCTGTTAATGACCTTGTTCATTGGGAGTGAATATTTCTCCCTTTGGTGAGAAACTGAGAATATAGCTTTACGAGAATTTTGTAAAGATATAACATACCGACTGATTGGTTACACCTGTCATATATATATTTTAAGGGTTTATAGTCTTTTAAACTATAAAAGCCCTAGAGTTCAAGATAAAGCAAGAGCTCTCTTTGATAGTTGGGGATCTAAGGATGTTGATCTCAAAAGTATGGATGTAGAGAAGGCCCCAGTTTATAATGATCCGAAGTTAGATAATCAAAATGATTCAAAGTTAGATAATCAAAATGATCCAAAGGTAGATACTCAAAATAATCCAAAGGTAGACAATCAAGATCTTGAATCTCAGTTCACTACAAATAATGGCTCCCCAACAAGATCCTATGGCAATCATAAACCACGTCTTTTTAGACCGGAAAAATATTTCTTCCCTGTGCTCAATCATATTTTCAGCCTGAAAAAATGAAAGTAAATGTACATGTCAGCAATGATGGAAAGTTCAATATATCTGGATTCTGAGATAAGATGCAGAACATTAGTGGCCAACAAGTAGTAACATAATGGAATTAGTTAGCTTTAAGATAATCTGTTAAACTTATACTCAAACTCCTCGCAATGATTTAGGATATGATATTCAAGCAAGTTCATAATTTCATAAAGAACGTGAGAAGACCAAAATCTTCCATATTTTTTTATAGCAATCCTCTAGGATGTTAAATCCAAGCATGTCAATTAATTTACAACTTATCAAAAACTTCAAAGTTAATTAGTTTATGAAGATGCAATTTTTCATAAGTTAATCCATAAAAAAAAGTCACAATTGTTGATGCTAGGACAATAAATCATCAAAGTCAAGAAAATTTTATGCAAATTCAAACCACACTAACACTGCATACAATGCTTCAATGGATAGATCAAGCTATTACATTCCTGAAGTTCTATATTTAATTCACATTCAGACACAGTATTTAATTATGGATTTTATGGACTTCTGATAGTTGATATAGTGTGTTTTCCAATCACTACAAAATTCATGATCTGGTTGATAATTACCAAGCCAAAAACTCCAATTTGCAAACAATTTGACATCAAATGGATGTGAGGGGGTAGTAGTGTTGCCATGCAGAAAGAAACAAAGCATAAACAAACCTTTGCTGCTTCCATCTCTGCTTTTCTCAAAGCCATTTCTTCTTTCTCTTCTTGAAGAATAGTAGCAACCTGATCTTCCATCTGCTCAATTGTTTGCGCCCACTTATTAATTGAATCTTCAGCAACAATTCTGCTCTTTAACCTAGAACCAGCCTTTTTAGCAATGGCTTTTAGTAGAGAGCGATCATTATCAGTGACAAATGTGACTGCGTATCCTTCCCGACCAGCTCTTGCTGTACGACCCACTCGGTGTACATATGTTGTGAGATCACGAGGACAAGCATAATTAATAACTGTCCGAATCCCAGCTATGTCAAGCCCTCGAGCAGCAACATCTGTTGCAATCAAGAAGTCTACTTCCTGTTTTCTGAAAAGCTCAAGAGAATCAAGACGCTGCGCTTGTGTAAGATGGCTATGAAACTCGGCTGCTTTTAAGCCTGCTAATCCAAATAAGATCTTCAACCTATGAGCAGCAAGCTTGGTTCCACTAAAAATGATTACTTTGGATGTGAATGTTTTTGAGCATAATGCAAGAAGCACTGCCTCATAATGTGCTTCACGAATTCTTCTTATTCTCACAACCTCCTCAGTCAAAGCTGCTGGTCGTTGGGCAGACGGATCAGCTGACAACCGTAGTGGTTTCTTTAAGGATAGTTTGACAAGCTCTGCAACCTCTTCAGTCATTGTGGCAGAAAACAGCATTGTCTGCCTCCGTTTTGAACACATACGGACGAGTTCCTGGATCTCAGCATTAAATCCAAGCTCCAAAAGTCGATCAGCCTCATCAAGAATCAAGACAGCAAGATCATCTAGATCCACAGACATTGAATTACGTAAATGGTCAATCATACGCCCTGGAGTTGCCACAACGACATCTGGCATCGACCTTAATGCAGCCTCTTGCACCTGAGTTCATTTATAATGTCACTCAGTTATGACAGATATAGAAAAGAAAGACATCTATAACAGCCAAAACCGGAGATAGTTGAAGCAATGAAAAACTTTCAATGTTTTCCGTAGTAGAAGTATTTAGTGAAATTATGGTTATTTCCATTTGAACAAAGGAAGTCACATTAAAATATCAAGAGGACTGAAACACACACATGCGTAAACAACCAGCACAAGCATGTAAGGGTCGCAGGCTCATAGTAAAATTCACACTTGCACACATTTCAGATAAGGACCCACTAAAATTGTAAAACCATTGCATCAAACCAATCTCAATCAGGGGACAAACTACTTTGAAATGTAAAATGGCAAACAACAGACATGATAGATTAATTTTACCAAAACAGAAAAGAGCCAATAAGAAAGTATCATAACCTTATTTGATAGCCCACCAACAATCAGGCAGCATCTTATATCTGTAAATTGAGCAAGTTTTTCTATCATACTGTGAACCCTGAAAAGCCACATCAGAGCACTAGAGTGAGAAAAAAAAAAAAGAACACTATATGTTTGAGAAAGTTTACAATTACGAATCAAGACAAAAAAGAAACATGTAAAGGATATACACAAAATTATGTTCCACAAAGGCCAGTATCTTAGGGACTCGTTTACTGCAAGTAAAAGGCAAGAAGAAGTGGAAGACAACCCTCAAAGACTTTAAATGTCATACATTGTTAAAATTCTTTGGAAGCTACAAGCTTTTTCTATAAGATGGACTAAATCACAAGTCCATGGAAGAAATAACAAAAAGGTATTCTGTTTCAGTCTGCTTTTAAGTATTTTGATAATCAGGGATTCACTCAATCCATTGATTACAAATCCAATTAATGAATGGGAATATATATAATTTTATTAACTTAACAAGGAGAAAGGAACTTTGTTTGAGGATATTGCAACATAGCAACAAGGATCCTGATCTCAGAGACAAAGAAGTATTTCTTATGATACTTTTCTGGTGCATTATTCACAAAATATACCACCAAAAACGAGCACTATATCCTGTGCTCCTTACACCCCACAAAACCTTTGGGCGTTCTCCCAATTCTTTAAGGCAAAAAAATTTAGAAGTGATATTATGGTGGAGTTTTTATTATAAAAAAAATGAATATTAGTGTAAAGGTAATTGAGACCAATACTGAAACTGTTTTTATTATAGAAAAAATGAATATTAGTGTAAAGGTAGTTTTAATCTTATTTTATCAAGTAAAGAATATGTACAGGAAACTTTTTATAAATGGTGGGCAAGGAAAACAATACTGAAAACTTTTTTAAGGGGAAAACATTAGTGTAAAGGTAATCGAGACCAACAAAAATGAAAATTAGGACAAGTTTGTGGTACAATTGTACAAGGATAGTATATCACTATACAAGTATACATTATGCATAGATGCTTCAACATTTTGACAATCCTTTTTCCAAATAGGATTGAATTTCACACACAGGCAATACTTTGTTTTCGCTTTAACAGATTTTTATAAAATCAAAGATGCTGGAGGAAAAGAATAATAGCAAGGCAGCACTCTTTTAGTTTCTAATGCCTATATAAACATGCACCAAACCTCATCTTACACAGTTACCCTTGACCACAACGATTACAGCAATGTTCAATGTGTCATCTGTAATGTTAGATCAGGACATGTTATTCATGACTATTTGATATCCTTTAAATTGGAACCTTTATGAGAATTTTAATTCAATAAGTATATAAACACATGCTTATGAAAATATACATTCAATATAATAAGGAAGAAAAGAGTTCCTCAGTTTTGTAGTTTGTTGATGTAAGTTATTAGGTTTACAGAAATAAAATCTTCTTGATGACCAAAAAAATGGAGTTAGTAGTGAAACTTACTGGACAGCTAGCTCCCTTGTAGGAGTAAGAATAAGAACCCTAATTGCCGGCACACGCTTTGGGCGGTATAACAACCTCTCCAAGGTTGGCAATGAAAAAGCTGCGGTCTACAGAAGCCGAACAGAGAGAAATATAAATAACAATTATATCCAAACCCATCATATTTCCCCCAACAAAAGAATAATGCACACAAGAGCAACCCTTGAACAATTCCAAATATTACCAGATTCCAGTACTAGAAAGCATCCTTAAACAGCAGCAATCAGCTAGCTACAATCAGATTCTTCTTTTTCTTTTCTTTTATATTAAGTCAGTCTAAGATAAATCCAATAACAAACAAAGTCCAACCTTTTTATAAAGTTTTTATTTTAGAATTAAGAGCTTGTTTGATATCGTGTTTCTAAGGGGTGGAAGTGGAACCAATTAACCATTTACCAAGTGTTTGGTATGAAAGGTAGGATAACACACCCTATTTCTCAAAGGTAACCATTAATTCCTTCCTCTCTTTAGGTATATCGAACATCTAATAATGGTAGCACTTCCTTCCTTTCTTTAGGTATATCGAACATCTAATAATGGTAGCACTTAACAACATTACCCCTTCCTCTTATTATTCGTTTCCATTCCACTTCCTTACCTAGATTCAAATCAAACAAGCACTAAAGGGAGCTGCAATCATGAATTCCAATCTTTTCAACAATTAACCTAAATCAATGAAATAAATCAACGATTTACCTTCCCAGAACCGGTTATTGCACTCGCACAAATATCACGCCCGGCCATTGCCAATGGTATACAAGCAGCCTACAAACAATGCTTCCATTTTCAGTCATATCACAAATTCATTTGAGCTAATAATTATAGTAAAATCCTAGAAATTCATTTAAAAAAAAAAAAAAAATTGCTCCTAAAAAAACCTGGATTGGTGTAGGCTTAGAGTACCCTAACGCTTCGCAAGCTCGAAGCAACGGCCTCGAAAGATTAAGCTCCAAAAACGATTTAGCTTGATAGGAAACACCTTCAGCAGCTGCAAAGAAAGGTTTATCACTTTCAACAACATCGTTTTCATCATCATCTCCTTTCTCAGCCTTGTAATCCTCCTAATAAAATTATCAACCATTATCAAATTTACAATTGAACTGAAATTGAATTGAAATACAAAACAGGAAGAAAAGGAGAATGAAATAGTACTTGTTTATTGGATTCGGAGTCGGAGTCGGAGTCGTTAGGGTTAGGGAGAGAGACGGCGCGCTGTTGACGAAGCTTGTGGATTTTTTGGTCGACGGAGGTGGTGTGACGGCGGGCGTGTTCTTCAGCGACGGCTTCGGAGTAGGCGGCGAAGTCCCAGGCAGATTCGGAGGCATTATCGTCGCCGGAATGAATGTCGTCTTCGAGTTCTTCGTCGCTAGGAGGCTCGAATACGAAGCCTGAACCCATTATAGTAGCTCTGTGAACAAACGTTGAAGAGGGTTTTTGTGTTAGTTTTATAGGGTTTTAGAATAGTAGAATAGGAAATTTTGTTTAAAAAAACCTTTTAAATGTCTTATTTTGGGTAAATACAAGTTAATCTCGGTGATAAACACGTGAAGTTTATAACAGGGTATTGTGGTCATTTTGCAGTTAAAATAAGGGGTATTTTTGCCATTTGAAAGAGGAGATCCTCCAAGCAGCTTTAATGGGAGAATGCAAATCTGATGAAATCGAAGAAGCTGACGAGCTCCATCAATGGTGAATACCAATAGAAGGGGGATATCAAATAAGCAAACAAAAACACTTTCCCTTTAGGGATTAACCATTCCCTTAATTTCTACATATTTACACAGGGTTTTCGTTGGATTTGGCGACGAAGTCGCCGAAAATGGTGTTGAGGTTTCGTATTCACCATTGAAGCATCTTGAAGAAGAAATCAGAAGATTAAGGTGTTTGGGGATCAGAGAAGGAGGAAGAAGATGAAGGTGCTAGCAGGGTTGGGAATGTGAAGGAAGGAAGAAAGGAAACCATGGATTAATCATGGAGATGGGTCACGGTGGAGTGAGGAGGAAGGTGATGGTGATTTTTTTTTTTTTTTTTTCAAAATTTAAAAATATTTACAATTTTGCCACCAAGATAAACGTATCCGTTTATCACGGAGATCAACATGAGCTCCCTCGCAAGAAAAAACCTTTTAAATAGAGGTGATCATTGGGCGGGTCGGGCCGAAACTAAAAAATTATGCCCACTTCTCGGGCAGGGCAAGGTCGGGTCAAGCTTCGGGCCGAAACTTTTGTGCCCAAACCCGCCCAAAATGGTCAGGCCGTGCAGGCTTTTTGGGCCATTTTCGGGTCGGGCCTACAAAATCAACTAAATATGCATAAAAACACATTCCCAAACCCGCCAAAAATAAAATTTTGGGCCTAGCCGGGCCCAACCCGAATTCGAGCCAAAAAAATATGCCCAAAATCGGGCCGGGCTAACTTTGATCACCCCTACTTTTAAACGATTCTTTGTTTAAAAAACCACCACGATCACTTTTTTTGTTTACTGAAACCTCACCCCTCTTTTCTGACATTGACTCCAACTTTCAGGCATTTACTCAAGATTTTCCCGACTTACACCCAATTGTTTTTATATTTTGCACTCCCTCTTTATTTTTCCCTCTTATTTTCCCAGCAAAGTCTTTCCCCTGTATTCTATATCTCCTTTCTTCCATGAATGCTCTGCAACACCATCACATCAAATTGGGTTTCTCTTTATCTCTCCTCTGCTACGCCATTAATACTTCAAGTCTTCAACCACAACCTGAGGTAAGTGTAAATTCATTAATTCTTGACTCGAAATAGTAAAAAAAAAAATTGGGGTTTTTTTTTAACAATAGAAAAACTCGGGTTCTTTTGGTTTTCAATGGCTAAAGGAGGGAGAAAGGAGACGTTTGGACGCAAAACAAGGTTTCCTAATTACGTAGTTAAGTACAAACTCAGGTAAGTTCTTCAAATTTGTACTCAATTGTAGAATTTGCGTTTAAATGATTAGGGTTTATCAGAATAATTCGACTAAAAATAAACTCAATTAACCTAATTGTTGCTGGTTATTTGGTGATTTTGAACTGTGACGCTTAAATATAACACACAAACTTGCTTGGATTGTTGAATTTCTTCAATAAAATTGTTCAATTGTTGCCCTAATTTGTTGAATATCTGCAATTTTGTTTGTTTTGGTGTGTTTGTCAGTGTTAATGGTAGAGTGAATTAGAGAAGATAGAGGAGAGCTAGATTGAGTGCTACAATGGTGAATTAAGCACTACAATTGTTGAACAAATTGTTGAAGAACCTTAATTTACCTATCAATTCATATGGTTTGGAGGAGATATGCCCTCATTTTTCGTTGAAATGATTTGTCCTAATTTTTCGTTGAAATGATTTGGGGATATTTATAGAGGGGAAATTAGGAGCCAAAAAAGGAAAAAGAGGGAAAAATACCCAACAGTGGCTGCAAGTAGGGAAAATCTTGAGTCAACGCCTGAAAGTCGGAGTCAATGCCGGAAAAGAGGGGTGAGGTTTCATTAACCAAAAAAGGTGATCGTGGTGATTTTTTCAAACAAAGAATCGTTTAAAAGGTTTTTTCTTGCAAAATGAGGCATTTAAAAGGTTTTTTCTGACAAATTTTCCAGTAGAATATGCCACAAAGGGGATATTTTTTTTTTTATTTATTTATTTTTTAAAATTGGGAATTTCGACTCTCTATTATTGACTTTTCCAAGTTCTAGGGGTGTAGGGCGCTTAATTGCTTATGATTTTATGAGACGAGACAACTTGCGAGCTATTAGAGCTTGAAATTGACTCGAAATATTGATGAGTCGAGTCAACTTGAAAGCTCGTGGAAACTTGAATTTCTTTATACGGTGTTATATTTAATAAAAGAAAATTTGTTTTAAATTTTTTTTTATATAATAATAATTAATAAACGTACATTATTTATGTAGTCATATGATCATATGTATATTTTTCAAAAGACAAAATAAAAAAGAAGGAAGAAATGTTACACAGAATAGGGGGTTCTATTAAGATGGATCAAATTGCAAACTACTCGAGATCGGCTCGGTTAAATTTGGTCAAATCTCGACTTGGTCAAAGCTCAGCTTGATATGTTAATGAGTTGAGTCGAGCTACCCCAAACTCGAACTCGACTCACATCATAAGCACCCCTACCAAGGTGTGACCCTGCCCTCTTTTTGGAAGTTACATATTGTGACCCGCTTGTCTAAAAAAAAAGTGCATAGTAACTAATTCGGAATTGGTCCTTGATCAAGAGTTCGTGCAAGCCAATGAGTCAAGTGGTCCAAGTGGTCTAAACACACATTCAAGGGTCCAAAAGAATCAAGTTCCTATTGTCCATGGGCTATTCATTCAAGGGTCCAAACTTGATCATGTTTCACGCATGGGTTTCAACATATCCTCATCTTTGTACAAGTCATGCGTGACTTGGATGGATGAGTAAGCATGGAATTAATTTTCCTTGGATGCCTTAGATATTTTCATGAGCATTGGGGGAGGAATATTCCTTGTTCCTTTCTGATTTGAAGGCAGCTAAGACAAGGGAAATAAATAGGGGGTTACACATGTTAATTAAGCATTCAAGTGGGTTTTTATTCACTTGTTTAGGCGCCATTCATGGAGTATAACCTCCTTAGTTTAATTGATTTTTATTACTATTTATTTGCATGTTTTATTTTCAGTTTATAGTAGTAATTAGCTTAGTTTAAGTTGTTGTAATAAAAGTTATAACTGTCAGCTGTTAGAAGGGAGAAAGCTGGGCGCATCTACAGCGAGTTCCCCAAGGAACTGATTAAGGAACTCGTTAAGGAACAGCAACAATTATTAGTCTTCGATGTATGACGGTTTGCATGGAACTAATACATTGAGGGACTGCTCATTGTGGCGACTGTTGAGTTCCCTTTTGGCTGGCGACTTTTTAGTTCCCTTTTATTAAATTAGCTAAGTAAGATAATTAATGTAACTACTTCCTTAGTCTATAAAAGGAAGTCTAGTCTAGCTTTTGTAATCAGATCAGATTATTATGAATGAAATATTTACCTTTGAAATATACCTTGTGTTATTTCTTGTTTTAACTTGTGGATTCAAGTTACTTGAACTCGTGGACTCGAGTTTGTGAGCTTAACTCGAAGTGTTCGGGGTTAGCTTGTCTTATGGTCAGTAGAGTGAGTGTTCAACTCTAACCATACCTATCCTTGATTAGTATTGCGAGTGTTCCTTTCTAGTCAAACTTTGAGTTCCTCATTCTCAGGAACTAGTTCCTGTTCCTTACCCCTGTTCCTACGTAAACACCTAGCCTAAACACTGAACCACTTAAACACCTAGCCTAAACACTTAACCCATAACCCGAAACACCTAACCCTACCTTAGATTCCGCATCAGTAACCTACATTAGCGTTTATTTATGACGAACATCAAAGGGACATATAATACGTCACCTAACACTCCCTTTCTTCTATACCTTTCTCTCTCCTTCAAATTAAATTCCCTCGCTAACTTAGTCTCAATTTCATTTATTCATTCCACTCTAATCATAAATGACCTTAATTTGCGAAACACAAATTCTTGAAGCGAAGATTTTGTTGTTGTATTACTTGAAGAAAGCTTTCCTTAAGTTGCAATTTGTTGTTAGTGGGTGGCTTGCAATAGCATCGTGGGCTTATAAATTCCATGCACAAGTCGAATTTCAAGGGAAGGAGCAACAAGACTTTTGTTATTGACATGATTTGATGTGAGAAAGACAACAATGGAACCCTAAAAAAAGTTAGAGGGGAAAGCGAATTAAATAAAAGGAGGAAGAAGGCCAGATTATTTGGAGGGAAACTTTCCCAGCAAAACAAAGACCAAAACGCTGCTTTTAAAAAGATAATAACGAAACCTTATTAACGACAACATAACAGCAAGGTCACAATTAACTTACTATATAAACAACATTACAGTATGTAACTTCCAAAAAGAGGGGTTACAAGCCTACAACTTGAAAAAGTCAACAGTAGAGGGACTAGAGGGTCACTATATAGAATTTTCCTATTAAATTTTATTCTCATGGTTTACCAGACCTGATAATTCGACCATAACATACCACAAAATCAGGAAGTTTTTTTTTTTTTTGGTTGGTCAAGGTTCTAGCTCGTTTAAGTTGATTTCTTGTTTTTTTTTTTTTTTTCTGTTGTTAATTTGTGTGTATGCAATTCAATTCCAAGGGGAGGGATCCGGTGAGAATAGGTTTATACGTGAGAACCTTATTATATATGAGAACAAATCTCAACCATTAGATACCTCATGATCCAACTGTTGAGATTGCTCACATAATAAAGGCAAAAATGTAATTTACATTTTTTTTGTTTGGCTCATTTTGAGCCATAATTTTTGTTCATTTATCAAATGAGCAAACAATTATTTGCTCATTTATCAAATGAGCAACAATTCTTTGTTCATTTATCAAAAGAGCAAAAAAAATGTAATTTACATTTTTTTTTGTTTGGCTCATTTTGAGCCATAATTTTTGTTCATTTATCAAATGAGCAAACAATTATTTGCTCATTTATCAAATGAGCAACAATTCTTTGTTCATTTATCAAAAGAGCAAAAAAAAAAAAATTTTTTTTTTTTTTTACATTATTTTTTTTTTGTTTTTTTTTTTGTTTTTTTTTTTCTCATTTATCAAATGAGCAACATTTATTTGTTTATTTATTAAATGAGCAAACAATATTTCTTTGTTTTGTTTGCTCATTTATCAAATGAGCAACTATTCTTTGTTCATTATCAAATGAGCAACAATTCTAAAACATTCAAACTTATATGAAACCTTGAACTTACTTACTATATCTGAAAATGTAAATAATTGTTGGACCATAAGAGACCAACCGTATACTAATTTATATTATGCACTTCATTTTCTGCCTATTTTTGAAGTAGATAGTTACAAGGATAAGTTAATACATATTGTTCCGCTCATATCCTTCACAAATGAGCAAACTGAAATTAAAATGAGCAAACTAAATAAAAATGAGCAAAAACACATACAATAAAAATTTAATATATATAAATAAAGTAGGCATTTTTGGAGAGCATTCGGCGCGCCACATAAGCAAAGGTATTTTTTTGACCAATTAAAAATTAGATTTCTATTTTATTTTGGAATTAAAAAAATTCGTTTGCCACCTAAACAAAAGTGACGAATGAGATCTAAGAATTTTTCCACGTAAGTAAAAACAACGAATATTGATTTATTAGGATTTAATTTATTTAAAAAAACTAAAAATTATCTTTTAAAATAATCAGTTTTAGATATAGGATTTATATACCTACTATTATAAGATAAATTTTGATAGTGTTTATGATAAGAAATAAAAATTATTCCTTAATTATAATTAAATTAAAATGTGTGACATTTAACATTATAAATTGACGCATCCTATAACACCAACAAAATTTCGTATCTATACTAAACCAAACCAAGCAAATTTTGTGTCGTTAATTTTGTGTCCGTTTTATTAGGTCATCAATGGGTGGGTAATTCTTAGCCTAATTTTTAAAACCCATATTTAAATGTATATTTGTGATTATTATTACTTAAATTGTGTTTATTGGGATACTTAATGATTATATATTTATGTTTTGTTTACTGAATTTTGTTTTTACATGCAGATCTAATTTAATCAGAGAATTATGTTTGAGAAAAAATCTTTGGAATATCAAAGTACGAGTTTCTCGTCTGATAATCCTATTGGATGAGGAGGTATTATATCTTTATAAATCGTTTATATTTATTAAATCTTTTAATGAACCTTTTAGTTTTTATCAATTAATTTTAGGCCAAATTGGAAAGTAACACCTAATAAAAACACTAATTTTGCTTATAACACCAAAACATTTCGATATTTTATTATAACACCTGTTAAAAAATAAAATTTTTGGTTCCACCACCTAAATGGTTATGCCGTTAGTGAAGCTGTTAGTGGGGCCCACTGCAACGACTATTTTTTGCTCAGTGATGTACACAGTTACGATAAACTTCACAAACATTCAATTGTTGATGTTTACACAAAATTTGGGTCAAATATTACGAATTGAACAACAAAATTGCACAGATTGTTCGATTTTAGCATAATTGTCCAGGAGAGGAAGATTTGAAATTAGGTAATTGCATCAAAACCACTGCAGAAAACCCCAATTTATCTTACTTAAATTTCATGTAATTCAAACTATGTTGTTGAATTAAGGGCATTATTCAGTTTGCATGTGTTAGTATTCATCAATTTCATTCAAATTAGGGTTCATTGTGTGTTAATTGTCCTATAAATTGCGAAAAGATGAAATTAGGGTTCGTCGCAAAAATTAAATTGGGGGTTTTGATTTATAGTAGTAATTGTATAATTTCCTTGGTGGAATTGTATGGTTTTTCAAAGTACGAATGGTTTTGCTTATTGTGGTTGGCATTTTGATGCAGGAAATGTCTTTCATAGCTTCGTCTCCTTCAAGGGAGAAGAAGTGCAAGTGTGGTGTTCCTTTTGCGAAGCTTACCAGTTGGACAAGGGAGAACCCTGGTCGGAGTTTAGAACGTGCAAGTTCTATGATCCTGTAACTGAGAGTAGAGGTTGCAAAGCATTTGAATGGGTGGATGAACAAGATGGAACAGCCTGGCAAACAGAGGTGATCAACAATTTGTTGTTGGATAAGAAGCTGTTGAAGGGTGAAATTAGTGACTACAAAAGGGAAGTTGATGATCTTGGTGGACAGATGAGGTGTTTGCTCAATGAAGTGGACAGGCTGAAGTTGAAATGCAAGGCTCTAAACTCTGACAGGAAGAAGATGAACAGAGAGATGCATGGAAGAAATGGAAGATCAGAGCACTCTGTTGTTTGTGTTGCTGTTGGGATTAGTCTGGTCATATTAGTGATGCTAGTTATTGGGGGAGGGGGGTTTGTAATGGTTAAATTGTAATTTGTCCTGAGTCATTACCATTAGTAGTAATGATTTTGTATTGTTTTATAAGTGGGAGTGAACCACTTTTTCAAAGTAATGAACACATATTTTGTAAGGAATGATTTGATCCAAGCACCTAAATATATGATATTCCAATGAACAAAATGAGTAAGTTAGTTGCATTGCTTAATCATATTGGCTTTTACAGCCTAGCACCAAATAGTTACTTTAACAAAATAGGCTGCAACACTAATTGTTCAAAATATTGCATGCTAATGTTCATAATATCAACCTAACACTAACTGTTCAGAAAAACAACAGCAACATCATATAGTCAAATTTGCATTTTTTAAAGTCTGCAGCTTGGCCCTCCTTGTTTGCACACCACTGAGTTGAACTTTGTCTGTGTTTCTGGGCTCTGGTTGACTGGAAGAGGGGGTGATATGTTGCTTGGATTGTGGTTGGCCTTGTTGACTTTGTGAACCTTTCCTCTTACTTAGTGGTTCACAGCCTGGTTGCTCTTAAGGAAAGGTCTTGTTCCCAATGCTGTTTGGACTAGCCCCTACTGCACTCTGTGTTTGAAAGATAAGTAAACATTAGTATAAAAATCCAATTCCATCACAAAATATACCCAAAAAATAAGTAACAAAGAATACCTTCTTAGCAGCTTTAATCTCACTCTTCTTCCTTTGCTCAACAACCCATGGTGAGTTTAAAGGGGGCCTTCCTGCAGTTCTTTCATCAGTGGGTTCAGGTACAGTTGGGCGCTTGCAAGTCTTGGCATAGTGGCCAAATCCACCACAGCTCTTGCACTGACTCTTCCTTCTCTGTGCTCTTTGCTGCCCCCTTGCTGCAGATGTTCCCTTACCAGGCTCAAGCTTTCTTTTCTTGGATTTTGGTCTTCCAAGCTACACTTTAAAGGCTGGTGGCTGAGGCTCTCTCATGTTCACTCTCCCAGTGCTTTGGGCCTGGCATTGGTTGAATTGCAGGCTCATATGCAGCTCTGTAGCTCTCCATACTGTAAAAGGGGTGCACATATTGCTCAGCATCACTCCTTTGGTCCATAATGCATGCAAAGGCATGAACACATGGGATGCCTATCAACTGCCAATGATTGCAGGAACAAGTTCCATTCTCCAAGTCAACTAGAACTTGGTCATCATTCAGCTGCACTTCAAAAGTGTCATCCCTGGCAGCTTGCACAATCAATGCCTAGACACATAGCTCATCCTTTGAAATAGCTTATGCACATATGGAGTGAGGTTGCTTGTCAGTTCCTTGGAGTCCTCCCACTTCTCATTGTTCCTCCTCATCATGTACCTCCTCATCCATTCCATTTGGGTGAGGATAGGTTTATCTCTTGCATCTCTAATAACTGAGTTGAAAGTCTCACACATGTTGTTTAGTAACATGTTGGACCTGCAACTATCACTGAATGCATGCATGCACCAGTGTTGAGTGGGGATGTTGTTCAAGTACTGATAAGCCTGCTCATTAAGCTCCCTTATCTCTTGCATTTGAATCTGAAACTCAAGCTACAAACACAACAAGGTAATGCATCAAGTCTAAAAACTATCTAAGCTCACTGAATCCAGCTCATTTTGATACTTGAATTTGTTCAACATACTCTAAGCAACAGATAAGGTCTTACATGTGTTGTTGCTCTTGCAGCACTCCAGAAAAGCTCCTTGAACATTGATCCACTGAACTTCAGCTTGAAATTTGACCAAATGTGCCTAACACAGAACCTTGTTTCTGCACTTGGCACAACTTCAGCTAGGGCTTCAACTAGTCCCTGTTTAACAAGAAAAATAAAGCCTTATCATACTACTCAAAACAAATAATAGCATTGATTGAAAACTACAAACAAACAAGATGCTTTTACCTTCTGCCTGTCTGACATGAAGGTGAAGCCAGAGCCATCTGCACTCCCAAGGCTGTGCATTAGTGATTCCAGAAACCAAACCCAAGTCTCCCTATTTTCAGCCTCACAGGTTGCCCAAGCAATAGGGTAAATGTTGTTGTTCCCATCTTTGGACACTACAACTAATATCTGCCCAGGGTAAGCTCCTTTCAAGTGGAAGCCATCCACCCCAATGATTGGCCTACAACCCTTCAAGAACCCATCTTTCAAAGGCCTCAAACATAAAAACATCCTCATAAACAATGCCATCTACCACCACATTACAACCAGACCCTGGGTTGTATTTCATTATTGCCTTCCCATAATCCCATACCCTTGCATATTGCTCTGTTGCTGAACCAAAAATTATCAACTTAGCTCTACATCTAGCCATCCAACATCTGTAGTAGGTCACTTGAACCCTAAGATCTTGCAGCACCCTATCCCTGATCTGCTTAATTTTCCAGGTTGGGTTACTTCTAAACTCCTCAAGGTACCTCTCTACAATGAACTCTGCAGTGACCTTCTTGTTCTCCTTGCTTCTCACACACATATGCTTTAACCTCATGCTTTTAATTTGCCAAGTCTGCGTTTTTTTTAACTTAGTAGCATGGATCTTGAAATTGCACTTCACTCCACCCTTGCATATACACAAAGGCATCCTACTTGTCTTTGTTTCATACTTACACCCACATCTATTCCTACATTGAGTAGTAATCCTACTACTATCATTGTGCAAAAAGTAGTACTCATTCCTATTTTCTATGGCATGCACTCTAAGAGCTTTCCTCAAAACAATCACATTGCTGAACTTAAGCCTATTAACAAGTACAATAGGCTTACTGAAGTCATATTTCTCATTAAACCAAGGACGTCTGTCCTCTTCATCTGATGACCATCCAAGCTCCTTAAATCATCTGAATCTCCTCAACTTCTCCCTGCAGTTCAACCTTACTCACATCTAAGTTCTTTGTCAACTTGGCCCTAGGATCCTTTGCAGCCCCCTGATCTTGTAAATCTAAGTGCTTCCCAAGACTTCTTGTTACCTTCTCCAATATCTCTTCAGAATTCTGGACAAACACCTCTCATCCCCACTATCCTACTCCTCCTCACCAGGCTCCCATGTTATGTCAATGTCACTGCTATCAGTAGAAGAATATCCCTCCTCACTACTAGACTCAATGCCCTCACTGTTATCCCAAAATCCAATCCCTTTGCTTTAGATTTCTTTTTTCCCCTTCCTAGTACCATGAACCCTTTCACACTTAACTTTAGATTTCCCCTTATCCAACAACTTCCCTGTACCGAAACCCCCTCACTCTTAGCAGAAACCCCTTCACTCTTTCCTCTCCCTTACCCTTATCCTGTCTAGATCTAGGTTTAGGAGAATCTGAAGGGTGACTTATGTTAAGTCTTGGGCTCTTCCTAACTGGTACAGGGTCCACTGTACTTTTCTTGCCCTTTCTCTCTGCCTTTTTTGGAGTGGCCTGGGTCTGGGCCTCATGTATGGGCCTTAAAGTTTCATCTACAGTGACAAAACTTCAACAAACCCATCCCCATTCACTATCTCTAAAAGCCCCTTGACTTCCTCTTCATTTACTAGTTCCCTCCTCCCTGTGTTAAAGGTCCTACCTCTTTGTTTATACCACAGTCTATAGTTTGGAGGGACATGGACATTATAATGCACAAACCCATGCACAACACCTTCCCTTAAATAATGTACATCTATCTTATCCACTACCACATCCCTCCTCCAATAGCATAACCCACCACACCAGCAAAGCAAGGCTTTTTGATTTTGACACTTTTTTGGGAACAAAAGCACCCCCAACTCTGAATACTATATCAATTAAGCCTTCTTGATTGTTGGCCATCTATGTAACCAATAAAACAGATGTAAAGCAAGTCAAAAGAAGCCAACATATGTTACCCCATTTAAACAGTCAAACACACTACTTTTATCAAAACAACCAAACATATTTTACACCAATAAAAGGACAAAGTAGTCAACAGTTCACCTAAATCAATGAATTGTACTAAACAATTAACCATTAAACAATTACATACTTAATTACTCACATATTACTTTAATTTCGCACATTACAGACAGAAAATCACACCCAATTTAACATTTTTTAGGGTTCTAAAATTTTTTCCCAATTTACCCAACATTTTCTCAACACAATGGCATATTCACATCATCAGTTTATGAAAACTACTTTAAAAAGATCGAAAGGTACCTCTTTTGGAATCTTACTGCAGTTGCTGTTAGAAACCACGAAAAATCCAAGCTTTTTGGATGTTGAAAATGGCCGACGAACGCTCGCTAAGTTGTTTTCGCTGCAATGCTGACACCTACCCGTTGCAATTCAATTCCTCAACCACAAATTTCAGTTTAGGGTTTGATAATTCTCAGTAAATTTCGTACTTCAGTATGAGCAGATAGAATTCAATGAAGATGGAGTAGTTGTGTAATCAATGGAAGGAGAGAGAATCGAAGGGAAAAATGAAGAAATTTGGACAGTTAAGTTAGTTGTGGGCCCCACACAGATTTTCCGTCACAGAATCTGTTAACTGGTGGTGGAACCAAAATTTTTATTTTTTTAACAGGTGTTATAATAAAATATCGAAATGTTTTGGTGTTATAAGCAAAAATTAGTGTTTTTAAGAGGTGTTATTTTTCCAATTTGGCCTTAATTTTATGATTAAAACAAATTTTTTGTGATTTAGGTAGCTTAATTAATTCATAAAATTAACTTAATTTTTTATTTTTAATTACAGGGTAATTGCGTTCATGGCTCAATTAAAGTAAACTTTATTCTACAATTTTGTACAAAATTGATTGAAGGAAAATTTTACTCCATTAGATACTTTTCAGTCGTTACAAATAAGAAGCAATATCGCACACATTGTCAGCGACAACAAAATAATTGATTCAATTTTCCAAAATACTATTGTTTGGGCGATTAGGGACGATGAAAAAATCCAATGCATAGATTTAATTTTGTATAATTACAATTTTTAGATTAATTTCTCAACAATTATTCACTTTCTGGTAAATATTTTAATTTATTTTATAAGACTATAAAGATTAATTTTATATAAATTTTATTTTTGCTAACATGTTCTATTTATCCACTTTAATTAGATGGAAGAGATATCAGTGTGAACTAAGTTGGTGATCCTATCGATTTTTTTTAATACAAATTTTTTTACATCGAAATATTACATCTAATAACTATTATTTTTAATGTTCAAAAATATTATGAGTATAATCTAATTACAAAAATTATTTTTATGAGATTTTATGTATAAAAAACCGTGGGATATTAGGATTTAAATTATTACAATAATAAAATATCTTATGAAATTAATGGTTTTATCTAAATACCCGATTAATAAGATGTTTTTATTTCATAAAAAAAATTTAAAACTTTTAACGCAATAAAAAACTTTACCTTCTTTAAACATTTTATGTCTAAAAATTTGAAAAGACAGATAATTTGTTAGAGATCAAGAGATCACAAGAAATATACAAATGATATATAGATTTGAGAGTTTAATTTCAAGTGTAAAAAGCAACGAATAATGATTTAGGATTTAAATTATTTTAAAAATAAAAAATTATTATCTTTTCACATTAAAGATTTTATCCTATTATGTAATCAATGAAATATCATATTTACAATTTTTTTTTTTTGAAAGATATCATATTATTGTCATATAACTAACAACAACGAATAAAATACAAAACAATAATAAATTAAGTCGCATTATATATTACATTAAAAAAATTATACTTTTGTAATTGGCAATATCATTTTAATTAATTATTATTATTTTTTTTTGTCTGAAATTATTAAATTGTAAAATAAATCAAAGAATTATATATATATTATATATATATATATAATATATAAATATATATAATATATATATATATATATATAAAACTTAGAGTATATAGGAAATATCTTTTCTTGAGATATATGTATGAAAAAATCGTGCATCGCACGGGCTTTCATCTAGTGTATAAATGAAAATGAACAAACTTATATTAGAATCTCAGAAAATTGCTCCATACTATATCATCATAATACACTCTCATTAAACTCATTTTCGATCGCCAAAATCTTTCAATTTCACGGGAACGCGCACCATAATCGTCATTGAGTGGAGCTCGAAAATGACATATTTGGTCTGAATTTTAAGCTTGATTTCTTTGTTATTGATGTTGCAAAGTTAATAACAATTATGTTAATGACGATGTTGTTGATGGCGAACATAATAGTCGCCGATTGGAGCTCGAAGACGCAATTATTGACTTGAATTCGAGCTTAATTTCCTTGTTTTTTAATGGCGCGAAGACGATGGTGATATGAGCATTGTACAAAGACGCCATGGTTAATTAGAAGTTGAGCTTAATTTCTTTGAAATTAATGGCGTGAAGTTGATGATGTATACCGAACAATAGGTGAGAGGAGAGAGAAAAGAGAGAAATGTAGAGGTGAAAGAGAGAAATAAGGGGGTTGGTTCAAAATACTCTTTTGGTTTTTGATATTTAAGGAATAATCAGAGCCCTTAGGTTTTAAAAAAATTCAAATATATATATTATATATATATATGTATGTATGTATGTATGTATGTATGTATGTATGTATGTATATATTATATATATATATGGTTAGGATCCGGTGAGAAGTGTTCTTTATGGTGAGAAGTGTGAGAAGATCAGATACATCAAAAGCACATTGCAGGTACATTGACTAAAAATTATAGATACATTAGAAAATTCATTTCAGATACATCGATTATTTTATTATAGATACATCAAAAAAAATTACTCGTAGTTAGATACAATAAAAACACATTACAGATACATTGACTATTCACTATAGATACATCAAAAAAATATGTTCAGATACATTAAAATAAATAAACCCACACCGCATGTATGCTAAAAGACCATTATTGTGAATATTACCTGCACTATGCATGAAAACTTGCTTAATTAAAAAGACATTTAATGAAGGTAAACCTCTTCAATCTTCATGATTTAATTTGGGAATTATGTTTTATTTAGCTAGCGTAAATTGATTATTATAAAACATTGGACATTTTCAATTCAATTAAATTCAATTAGCTGTTGGTCATCTTCTTCATTCAAACACCATTTAGAGCATAATTCAATCAACCAAAAAACAAAACTAGAGCTCTAAACAACAATGGAGGAATTGCAGACATGTACGACGAAGCCGACTGAAAACAACATGAGCCGTTTCGAGCTCCATAGCAGCACTTGAAGTTGATAGGAGGTTGAAGAGAGAGAAAGGAGGAGAGAGAAAGAAAATGGGAAAGCATTCTATCGGGATCTAGGAATTGTACGAAGGACTTGAATTTTTTTGGGACATTAAAGCTCTATTATGATACATTTAACACCATTATAGATACATTAAAGAATTTATAGAAATATATCAAATAGATAATGTAGGTACAACAAGAATTAACAGATGACAAATATGGAATGACGCCATTTTCAACTTTCATTGCTCCATGAATTTATGGAAGAAAGAAGGAGAGATAAAATGAAAATGATACTACCAAAGTACGTATTAGTTTTTGGGTAGAATCACGTGGAGCATATATATATATATATATAAAAGTTAGATACTCTATCTTGTTTTAGAGTATTAGGGGGATGCCCCTCGAGTTACTGGTTTCAAAAGATTGATAACCTTGCTAGCGTAAAACAAACAAATAAGGAAGATTTTCCAAAAAAAGTAAAACAAGCAAGTTAGATTGCTCAAAGAAATGAGTAGATAAACATATGACAAAAGACACAAATGCATTCCATTAATAAAAGGATAGAGTCAGGTCTACAATTGTACAAGTTGAAGAAGAGGTTACCCATGGTTATACAATTGGAAAGGACGAACGATCTTCAATACATGCACGTGGCTAAGAACATTGATCTGCCTTCTACTTCGGCTGCTGAATCCTTCAAGACTTTGC